TCAGACAATTCATCATACACCTTCTGGGCATGAAATACCTAAAACTCTATTCTAGAGAGGTCAACTCTAAAAAAGCATTAAATCACTCTACAAGCAAGGAACAAGATGAATCTATGCTTAAACACCTTAGATCTAGCTTAATCACCATTTGATCTCCCTAACCCATGAATCCTAAGATGACTACTCACTAATCACCATGATTACACTTAAGCCCATGAGGGATTTAAGGTTAATCATGATTAGAAAGCAATAAGATCACTCAAAACACACAATAAATAAGATGAAACGTAGATTAAAGGAATAAACATTCACCAAAATATCAAGTGTTTATGAGAGAAAATAAGATAAGTCCCATCATTAGGGTCTGAAAAGTATTTATAGGGTACTTAGAAACCCTAATGGGCTTAGTAAACAAGCTTAAACGAACCTAATAAAACATTAAAACAACTAAGAAAAATACACGCAGCAGGTGCATGCAGTCGTTCTGTGGTGTCGCTGCGGGTGTTGTTCCCCGCTCAAGGTACCCTCAGTAGTTTCATCTCCAGATTCAAGTGAGCAAACGGGTGGCGTATCTCGCAACGCCTGGTCACTCCAACTCCCAGTGAGTGCTTCACCCCGCGGCATGAGGTCGCTCCAGTCAGCTACAGCGGGTGCTTCAACCCGCAACATCAGGTCACTGTAATTTCATCTCAAAGGCTGGGGAGCGAACGGGTGGTTTCTCCCACGACGTCTGGTCGCTCTGCTCCCCAAAGGGTGGCACAACTCTCTACATGGGGTCGCTCTGTCCCGTCGACGGATGTGTTGAGTCCATTACGGGTGCTCTAACCCGCAACGGTACCTCGCTCTGACATTCTCCTCAGCTTATGACCATCTTCTACTCTTTTTGAGTCACAATCTCATCAAACACCATTAGACACTCCAAAAGGATACTCCAGCACCTGATTAAGACTTATGTATGCATATGAAACCTTAAAGATGTTTAAACTCTAGTCTAGATGATCAAAATGTACATGAATGAATGACTAAAACAATGCAAATATGCAAGATATCAAGAACTTGGGGAGTTAATCAAATTTAGATGTACACAAGAGGATATATGTACACTTTAGAAAGAAGTAACAATGGAGGAGATTAAGAATACCCTATTCTCGATGCCAGCAAATAAGTCGCCGGGACCTGATGGATTTCCCTGTGAGTTTTTTAAAGCTACATGGTTCATGATAGCTCATGACTATACTGTGGCTATTCAATCAATGTTTATGAAGGGTTTCTTCCAAAAGGGATTAACTCAACTGTCTTGGCTCTTATACCAAAAAGACTGAAGCATCAGAGATGAAAGACTACAGACATATTGTGTGTTGCAATTTGCTATATAAGGTGGTGGTCATCGCTAATAGGCTGAAAATCCTTATGCCAAGAATAATCTCTGCTAATTAATTTGCCTTTATCCAAGGAATTATTAATGGAGAAAGTCTTATTAGCTACAGAGTTAGTCAAAGATTATCATAAGGAGAATATCTCACCGAGGTGTGCAATGAAGATTGATATATCCAAGGCGTTTGATTCTGTTCAGTGGTCTTTTGTTCTGAAAACATTGAAGGCTATGAAGTTCCCAGAGCCGTTTATCCATTGGATAAGACTCTGTATCACTACGCCTTCGTTATTTGTTCAGGTTAATGGTGAGCTTGGAGGGTACTTTCAGAGTAAGCGCGGCTTGAGACATGGATGTTCACTCTCCCTTTATCTCTTCGTGTTGTGTATGAATGTGTTATCGCTCAAGATCAATGAAGCTGTGAGGGAGAAGAGATTTCAGTATCACCTTAGATGCAAATCTCTTTCACTTACGCATCTCTGTTTCGCAGATGATCTCATGGTGTTTGTGGAGGGTACCAAAGAATCGATAGAAGTGGCTATTGCAGTGTTTGATGAATTTACAGCATGGTCATGGTTGAGGATCAGTTTGGAAAAATCCACAATTTTCATGGCTGGTATACTAGAACATAGCAAAACTTGATTTTAACTAATTTTTCTTTTGCTAAAGGTGAGCTGCCAGTGAGATACCTCGGACTACCGTTGATGACTAAGACTATGACTATCTTCCACTGACAGAGAAGATTCGCTCACGTATAAGCACTTGCACGAGTCGATTTCTATCTTACGCTGGTAGACTGCAGCTGATATTGTCAGAGATAATGAGCATTGTGAACTTTTGGGCTTCTGCATATAGACTTCTAGGCCAGTGTATCAAAGAAATAGAACAACTCTGTTCAGCATTTCTTTGGTCAGATCCAGAACTCAAAACTACAAGAGCTAAAGTTGCTTGTAATGTGGTATGCACATCTAAGGATGCGGGAGTACTTGGCATACGATTGTTGAAAGAGGTGAATAAGGTGTACGGCTTAAAGCTCATTTGGAGAATGCTTACTGGAAACTCATTATGGGGTCAATGGGTTAAGCAGAACCTGACGAAGAAAAAATCCTTTTGAGAGTTGAGTAACAAGAGCCAACAAGGCTCATGGATGTGGAAGAAGATCTTGAAGTTACGAAGCATCGCGAAAGATTTTCATAAAAAGGCAATTGGTAATGTGAAGTACATATCCTTCTGGTTCGATAACTGGTCCAAGAAGAGAGTACTATCAGACTTATTGGGAGAGGTATCATTAATCTAGACATCAGAAGAGAAGCCACAGTTGAAGAGGCTCTGCTAAACCAAAGGAGGAGAAGGCACATAACCGGAGTGCTTATAGAAATTGAGGAGGAGATAGACATGATAAGAGAAAAGCTAACTAGTGAAGTTAATGGAGAGGGCTTGGATCTTTGACGACGCATAACAGAATTTAAAACTCAGTTCTCTACCAAAGAAACCTGGTATTTACTTCGAGAGGAGAAACCGCTGTGTATGTGGACCAAGGGGGTCAGGTTTTAAAAAAACAACTCCAAAGTTCTCGTTTATTATTTGGATCGCGATGTTGGACATGTTAACTACCATGGACATAGTGTCTAAGTGGAGCGCTGGAGTTGATGAGACTTGTGTGCTATGCAAAAGCGCAGCCGAGACCCAAGATCATTTATTTTTAAATGCTCTTTCTCCTCACAGATTTGGAAGGAAATTTCACATGGAATCCTACAATGCTCCTGTACGAGAACTTGGAGTGCACTTCAGGCGATTAACTCAGACAAAAGACTGGAGGTGAAAAAGTTTTACTGTATCAGATATGCATTTCACTGTGCCATTCATGTCATATGGAGAGAACGAAACAAGAGGAGGCATGGGGAAGATCCAACTATGTCGAGAGTCTTTGTGAAGTTCCATTGATAAAAATATAAGGAATAAGTTGAGTTTAGTAACTACTTTGGAAGAAAACTTTTCGGATATTCTCGCTTACTAGTTTGGAAGTCAAGACACGTGAAAATAGGTGACTGATTATTTTGGAAAGAAGGACCTGATGTAAAACAATTTTTTTGGTGAATATAATTTAACGTTTTTCAAAAAAAAAAGTCAATATAATACGAACTAATAAAACTTGTATAGAAATCTGTCGTTTACACTATAAGCGAAGGTCATACGAAGCTTATAGTCTGCTCTACCTTATATAGTATATCGAACTCTTAATACAATGACATTAGATTGAGATGCAGCATAGTATGGGTCTTGACGCAAATTATTTTCTTTTCACTAACCCAGCTCACTGGTACATGTAATGAATGAGAAGATTGTTAAAAGGTCAAAGTGAGGTTTCTTCACATCATTTGAGCTAAGTAGCAGCCTTTGTTCTAAGACCGATTAAGAAAGGCCCAATAATGTGTAGACGTTCCAATAATAATGTTGTCGACTATCATACCTTCACCTCCAGATTCTTTCCAAGTCCCTATAACCAGCTTCTTTAATCATGTCTACGTCTTAAACAAACGTACCTTTTTAGATAATTGAAAACGCAAGAGGACAACGAGTATGGCTCTATAGTTGTCAATGTATTTGTCTTCTCCTTTGATGGTCCCAAAAGCATATCTAACTATGGTTCAATATATATCAACCCAACCTTTTTTTTTTGTAACAATGTATCAACCTAAGGTAGACGTTGAGTTGAGTTAGATGTTTGTATTTTCTCGTTTACAAAGCCATCAAAGTTTCATGTTCACAACAAGGATAATTATTCATCTTTGTAATAAATTTTCATGTTTTCTGATTTATTAATATAGAATGCTTTAATAAAATGTAAAATAAACTGCAATTTGTGATGCTATACTCGAGATTGGTACTTTTGATGCCCAATAAGCTCACAATAATACATTTGGAATCATTGTATATGCTAATACAATTTCATATATAAAACATTTTTTTCTTAAATAAAAGAATTAATGGCTCAGGCTCAGGCTCAGGCTCAAGCTCAGAGTAGTGAGCAATACATTTCACAAATTTAAGATTTAATGAATATTAAAAGAAAAGCTGAAGAAGATGCTTAGCACGGAAATATTTTCTACCGCTCATCAGTATTCGATGTTTGGTTTCTGAAGCTTCCCTTTCCATTTATACTATAATAATCCTTCAATAAAAACTAGTTCCCAAAAAAAATACAACTCAAATGAAATAATATCAATCGTTCGTATAAAAAGTATACAAAGGCTTGGTAATATAATATTATTAGTCATCAAATCGAAAACTATAGGAGAATATGGGATAATTTGCGATTCAAGCCAGAGTGGAGAAACACTAGTCTCTTTAGCTAGTTTAAAAATGGAATTAATATAACCAAATTATGGAATCTAAATTTAACCATTAACGGTGAAAATTAAATTACATGAAAAAAGCTTGGAAATGACACTTAACGATTGATACCAGTCGTAAAATGTGGTTTTTGCAAGCTGGAAATCTTATTGCATGAATCTGATACCTTTCTTCTCCCTTTACTTTTTTTTTTCCTTTCGCGTTTCTTGTATACTTAGCTTTAATTCAATACATTTGTCTATATATACGTTTTGTTACATATCAGAATTCTAACATTGTGATTTCACACTAATAACTTCTTACATTTCATATTGAAAACTGTATAATGTCTAACGTTCGTCCATGGTTCCGTCTCGCTAGCATCGCTAGGCCTACATCACAAGGCTCAAGCGACCCACCTCCTCCTCCTCCACCTCAACCTCGTCAAACCCCTAGCCGTCAGGTTGTAGTCAGACAACCGGCAAAACAACCTTCTCCTCCACGTCAGCAACAACCTCCTTCTCCTCCACGTCAACAACGACCTCCTTCGCCTCCACGTCGGCAACAACCTCCTTCTCCTCCACGTCAGCCTACTTCCTCACCACGTCAGCAAACTCCTCCACCTCCACCTCCTCAGGAGCGATCCCCATATCATTCACCACCCAGCCGCCACATGTCACCACCGACCCCACCAAAAGCTAAGTCTCCGTCGCCCCCATCGCCACCTCCTCGGTCGTCCTACACGCCGCCACCATCTCCCAAGGAGGTTCAAGAAGCCTTACCACCGCGAAAACCAACTTCACCACCGAGTCCAGCTCATTCCACTCGGTCATTAAAATCTGAACCAGACAGTTTTCAAAAAGCACCATCACCGAGAGTACTCTCTCCTTACTCTCTGCCACCTCCTCAGTTACATTCCGAACGTGAAACCACTCAGAAAAACATTCTCACAGCCGAGAAAACAAGCCAACTCCAAGAACCAAATCATCATAACCAAAACCATAACCATAACTATGACCATCAAGGCAACAACACCAAGAGGACGCATCATCAGCAACCTTTTTCTGGTTCTGAAAACATAATGGGCACACGAGCTATCACCATTGCAGGTGAAAACAAAGGTGCTGTAATGGAGATCCTGCGATCTCCTTCAAGCAACAAAACCGGAGGATCAGGACGACATCCCTCTATCGGGTTTGGCGGCCCCGGAGAGAAGGGACGACGACTTCAAAGCAGTAGTAGCAGCAGCAGCAGTGATGAAGGAGAAGGGAAGAAGAAAACCACAAAGAACCATACTAACAATGCCAATAATAGTAATCTCCCCATGAAAGCCTTTATGAACAGTAACGTTCAGATGATAAATAACTCTCTTGTTTACAACTCGTTGGCGACACATCATGATCCTGGTGTTCATCTTAAAATCTCTCGGAAACCTGGCTCTGGCAATGGTTTCCACGTCAAGGATTACGGTAATAATGACGGCGGATACACCAACTGAGAAAATAAAATTTCTTTCTGAAAAGGAAAAGAAACCTAAAAAAAAAAAGTTTAAGGGTTTTGGGTTTTATTTACAATAAATTCAATTTGTTATAAAAAGAGGGAAAAAAAGAATAAGAACAAATATGAGTGGGGTTAGTGGTTTATGATTCTTCTCTTAAGCTTTTTATAACCTTAGTCTCATATGGAGGCTTTCATTCGTTTACTGAAACGGAGTTTTTTTATATCTTGTAACGCTCTTTTGTCGAACAATAATCATGTAATCGTTTCATCATCATATTATTACTATCAGATATGCCCATATTATTATCAACTTTTCTTTCTAAAAATAATAGTATAATACTAATATTCACCCAACAAATACACTAATATAGTAGACTAAAACGACAACATATATAACAAGTTGATTTTCGTGTACTCGAAGTTCCATATTTTTGTGGTCAAGACTCAAGAGTTATTTTAAAAATTGGAAACTTTACGAGTTTGATACAAAAAAAGGATTACGGATATATAGAGATTTATAAGTTGTTACTTGTTGGGAGTAAGGCCTACCTTCGGCGTGGGCGCTTCTCATATATTTTGTTGTTGGGTTCAACTCTAGCTCCAAAAGTTTTTACGGAAAAGTTTGTGTTGTTTGTGTTTCAGATGCGCTTTAGCATCCTTATTCTTTTAGCGTAAAGTTTTAGAGTTTTTTTTGTTTGTGGTTCTAGTAAAATCTTTGTTTATAGGCTTTTTTCTGACTCTTTTGTTTGGGCTTTTATTTCCGGGATGTTTGATTAGTAAGACCATCATTAATAGGGAATCTTAACAATAGGATCTTTAGTAAAAACTAATAAAATATTGGGTGGATCTCATAAATTTTAAAAAACTGGATCCTTAAGTTCTGATATAAGGGCATGATTATCTCTAGAAATAGGCTTGAGCATTCGGAATCCCAATCGGATTTCAGTTTTGCCCAATTGGATCTCAGTTTTTCAGGTTTATCAACATTAGTCTCATTCGGATTATTTAAAAATTTGGTTCAGAATCAATTTGGGTTATATCGGGTTCGGGTCGGGGTTAATAAATCTTTAAAGAATCGATATAACCCATTATACTTTTGGATTCGGGTCCCAATCGGTAATTTAGTTTAAAAATATATGATTTGTACATACTTTGTAACCAAAACATAAATAAAATCGGTTCTTCGAATTTAAAGTATCTGATGTATAACTATTTTGTAACCAAAACATAAGTAAAATTGATATAAAAATAAAAAAGAAACATCAAAGGTGATCATTCAAAATCAAATGAAAGGTAAATATAGTTATTAATAAGAAGAAAACCAAATAAATGAAAGCATAAAACAAAAACCAAGTTCTTAAAAAATGAGAAACATTATTCAATAAAAACATAACCTTAATTTAAAATTTTCAAGTTTCAACCGCCACTTTCAACCATCAACCTTCATGTAATAGATAATTATTTTAGATGTTTAGTAATATCTTAAATTACTTTGGATATCTATTAAGAATTAAAAACATATTCGGTACACGTTCTTATTTAAAATTTTGAATGTTTCGGGTTCTATCGGATATCCATTTAATTTTGGGTTCGGTTCGGATAATACCCATAACCCGAAATACCATAAAACAAGATTCATTCGGTATTTAAGTTGTGTTCGGATTCCTTTTTTTCGGATCGAGTTCGGTTTATTTGCTCAGCCCTACCAAGAAACTCATTTGGGATTCTAATTTTTTTTTCTCTCTGATTAAAAAAAATTAAAAAGTAATCCAATCGCGGACCGCTACGTGTCAGTGGGGCCCGTGAACATAGTGCAAGAAACATGTTCTTATTTAGTTATTTTTGTAACATGTTTCTTAAGTTTTTGGGGGTCCCACACCCTAAGAAACCTATTAAGGACCCTCAATAATTGTGCTCTAAAGACCGATCTTCATTTGTTTCTTGCTCTGTTTGCGGAATCCACTGGCACGTAACGGCTCGCGATTGGTTCGCCTTTTAATTTTTTTTTTATTATCAAAAAACGAAAAAAAAAACAAAAAAAACTTTCCTATGAAACCGTTCAGACCCATCTCAGCGTTAATCATGCTCTAAATATGCTAGCTATGTTTTATGATACTTGCCATGTTTGATTTTAATAAATTTTTTAGGTTGCCTTAGGACACCTTTATCGCTAGAAAAAAGTGGGTCTCTTACTCGTGGAGCCCACCATAATCCACATGAAACATGTATAAGGGCATGATTATCGCTCGTATTTAGGCTCATTTCTTAGCTTTGTGGGTCAAAAAATAAATGAAAAAGCTGAAGAAACACTTGAAATGGACCTTAATTAAGAAACAAAATGGGCTCGTCTTTAGGGCGACGTGGAGCGTTCAGATTCGTCATTGGAGAAGTGAGAGTTGCTATGGTTCGTCTCGTCTCTCTCCTCTCTTTCTCTCTAGATCCTCCATTGCCGTCGATTCAGAGCTGAGCCAAGGTGCCTTTATCTCTCTCTCTCTGTCTGGATCCTTCATTTGTATCTCTGACTTTTCACTGTGTTTATTGGTGCTTCAAGTTACGCTGCGCTCGATCACTGTTTTATTTTGATAATCCTTGTTTGATTTAAAGATAGAATGTTCATATGTGAAAACTCGTGGATCTGTATGGTTACTGAGTCTATTTGATAATGGTCAAATGCTCGATCGATTTTAGCTTTTATGTGATCTTTTCGAATCCATGTTTTTGTGTTGGTCTTTTGGATAGTGATTTTAGCTTACAATAGTCTTATGAATAGTTATTTTGATAAGTCTGGGTTTCACTTTTTGGATTTGTTTTTTCCAGGTCTACCCCAAAGGCACACATTTCATGTTGCTATGGTTTGAGAGGCCAATCATCTATGATGTCCGTGCAAGATCCTACCTTTTCGAGAGCACCACCGGTACTTCATCTCGTTTGGATTTTTTTCCTCAGGTAAGAGCTTGGTCTTTTTAGTGCATCAAAAAAGAGATTCTTGGAGTTGAGTTACCTTGAATTTTTTTGTTTGTTCCAGGAAGCAGAAGCTGGTGCTGGAGAGCTTGGAACACTTGATTTCCTCAGAGGCAATGATCAGGTTGTCATTCTATCCTTATCTCTTTTCATTTGTGAGATCAAGGATTTAACAGCCTGTTTCATCACCTTCAGGGACGTGGATGCTAGCCTACTCCTATATGATATTACTTCCTCATAACACTAATCATGTTGTATTTCCATTTGTTTTAGTTCCAACAATTTCGAACAATGGTCAATTCCAACCCCCAGATTCTGCAGGTAAGTTTGCTATATTTATGTTTTATTTGAAACACTAAAAAGTTATATATATATGTTTTTTTTGAAACACAAAAATTATAAAATTTATTACCTAAGAAACACCAAAAAGTTCCAGCAATAATCTGCATTTTTATAAAGTTTCTTACCTTTGTCTCTTATGTTACAAAAATTAATAAAATAAGCTAAGAGACATAATTTTGTTTCTAGCAATAATGTTGCCCTAATTGTCACCAAAGAAAACTTTTTTGGAGAGGGTTTTGTACTGTTTGCGGATCCTACTAATACATGGCGGTCTGTTATTGATTCGGTGTTTTTTTTTTAATCAAACGAAAAATAAATAAATAAGAACCCCATTTTGGGGTTGTGAGAGCAAGATTATTGGGGGTCCTTGTTCTTAGGTCCTTAATATACATATATGTATATATTATATATGCATGTATAATTGCGGGTTAAGGACTTTACGAAATCCAAACCGAAAATTTCTTAATTATATACGCATATAGAATATATACATATACATATATGTGTATTAAGAACCCAAGAGCAAGTACCCCAATAATCTTGTTCTAGGCTCTTATTGGGTCTGTGAGAATAGTGACTTTGAGGCTTTCTCAGAAGTCAGAAGTTTAAAAAAAATAAACAATGATGCTTGACTTGTTTTTGAGAAAAATATAACGTGAAGAACTTCACCAACCTACCTGAGGTCGCTGACCACTTTGAGGCATATTCTTCACGTTTCACTATGGTAGGTACCATTTTCTTTACCTTTCTTTCAACTCCTTAAACTAGCTGTAAATAAATAAATTATAGGTATGTATCGAAGGAGGGTCAAATATGAGTTGCTTCGTTCCTCGTCCATCTTCAAAAGCTGAAAAATAAACTATTTATTTACCATCTTCCCTTACAACTACCAAACAAAACAAGTCTGTGATTAGTTTATTAAAAGACAATCAAGAAGTAACAATTGTAACAATATTCAAGAACTTCACAACTTACAATATAAACATAAGGCTTGTGGTCTCAAGAAGTTGCGCTCTGTTATACTTGTTCATAATCGTAGAAACTCTTCTCTTTACCATCTTACTTTCTTGATTTCATTCTAATGAAACTTTATATATATATTTCAGGTTCATTTATCGCCTGCAAGAGCATCAGAAAGTAATCAATGGCCAAGCTTATCTCCTTTCATGATGTGGCTAAACACAAGTGCAAGAATGATTGTTGGATTCTCATCCATGGAAAGGTCAACCAAAAAATAAAATTCTATTAAGCCCTCTATTTTTAGTCATCTACCAATTTTATAAAACAAGTGAATCCACAGGTCTATGACGTCAGCAGTTTCATAGACGAACATCCCGGCGGTGACAATGTTCTCCTCGCCGTCACCGGTACGTACAAGTAAACAATGGTTTAGTCCGGTTCGCTTTTGAATGTCTCTCGCGTTTTTAATAGTTTTGTGACTTATTGGAACATAAAGGAAAGGACGCGTCGACTGATTTTGACGATGTGAATCATAGCAATGAAGCGAAAGACACGATGAAGAAGTATTATATCGGTAATGTTGACAAGTCAACTGTTCCAGTGACGGCGAAGTATATTCCACCGTTGGAGAAGGAATCTACTGCGAAAACCACAAAAGAAGAATCTGGAAACAAGATACTTGTGTACTTAGTTCCTATCTTGATTCTTGGCCTTGCTTTCTTTCTCAGATTCTACAACAACAACAAGCAGACAACTTAAAAGAAAAAAACAATGAGAGAAAGATCCATCACAATTTCAAAAATCACAAGTTTTTCATAACGCTGTAATATTTTTTTGGTAAAAAATAACGTTATAATATTATCTAGGTTTTGTGTGTTTGTAATAAGAGACAATTGGCTCAATATACCAAATCTACTCAAAAATTAAGAAACTACCCCAAACAAAAAAAAACTATTTTACTGTAGATGTTTGTCTTCCCCTTTCCCATTGTGTCCCTGTCCTAATTTTTCTGTTTGTTTCTCTTTCTTTCCCGAGTCCACATCTCTATTATTTATCTCTTTATCTCTCAATCTTCTCAAGTTTTACAAAATCCCGTGAATTTATAATATCTCATGTCTCACCTCCGTCGCCGTTGGTATAGCCTCCGACGAGAATCTTTTTTTTTTAGTCTTTTTTCTTCTTTTCTTTCAAGGTTTTGCTTGGGTATGTTGAGTCCTTTTGCACAGACATTCCTTTCTTCGCCTCTAGAACCGCTGTCGTCCTTGTGTTTCTCTAAGATCTGTGAGTTGTGTGGTCTTCCTCTTACTCTTCTAACCTTCTTGTTCTTCCTGACCACCGGATCTATTCCCTTCATTGTGTCGGTTCTTCAAATCTACAAACCCCAGGCCCCCATCGATTCCTTTATCTGCGTGCTAGGTAAATCTATGGAGCTTGATGATTTGTTCTTCTAGACTAACAAGTTAGATAACGACTAACAAAACGTGTACAAGCTAATGATTAAGTTATCATAGTAACCTATTATGATAACATCTAACAATTAAATATCGCATAAACACAAGTATTTTGTAGTAAAAGAAGTTCAGCGCTAAGTTTTAATGTAAGATTTTATACACATTGTTAGTGGATAACTTGGTTATTAGAAACAAATACTTATCATATACCTAAACCAATAACCTCAATGTAGTATGATATTTCCTATGTAAAACATAGGTTATATGTAAGTTATTGGATTTACATATAATACAATAATGGTTAACCATCCAAAATATAGAAATTAAATAGATAATGATTAAATTAGTCTACTAACAAATTTTGTAGCGCTTAACAAAATATGTATCTGTTAATGCAAGCTATTTATACAACATCTTACCCACAAATTAAACATGTATCAACATGTTATGTAACAGTTAGCAAGGTAAACTTTTTGGTAGCATCTACCAAACTAAGTATCAACTATCGATGTTATCTTTAGCATTTTATTATCTATTTTAAAACGCCAATGTGTTTCGTAAAATTTAACTAAACATGTATCGAAACATATTATATAGAGATTTACAGCTTTGTAACATACAACCACAACTAGTTTATAACAAAATAATTTTAATATAAAACTTTAACAACTAACCAAACATGTATATGCTCACAAGACTTATTCGTAGCATCTAATAAATTGTTTTACCAGTTAACAGAAATTAGTAACAAGCTTGTTTGTGCTCAATAATAATGTAACTTTACTAAGCTCTCAACTATATGCAGATATGTCTGATATTTTACGGTGGAAAGTATGATAAAGAGACATTGGAAAAGATACAGGAATTAAAGAAAGGATGATAAAGAGATTGGAAGAGATACAAGAGTAAACGAAAAGGAAAAAAAAAAAATACAAATCAGAGAAAGTAATTAACAATACTTTCTCAGGCCTTAGTGTTTTAGTTGTTATCTTTCTCCTTTTTTTGTGTTTATGGATCTCAAGATAAGAGAGATGGAGAAGAAAGATTATTGTGTGAGTAAAAGACTTGAAGGTAAGAGAGAGAAGCACAATAATAGTTTTTGGGCAGGGGTGGTAGCTCGGGCAGGGGTAGATTTAGGTATTAAAATCACTAATAGTGAATAGGGTATTTACCTAATTATAACTTTTTCTGTGTATATAGAGCCTAATTACTCTTGTAATAGAAATAATATCAGTGCAGGTCACTTTCCTCATGTTATCTATCACCATAAGACACATTATTATACAGACACACTTTCCTCTCTCCAACCGACCGGTTCGTACTCTTCTTCTTATGTCTCAACTAATAATCTCTCTTATAGTTACATGAATTAGTTATAGGTGGCGGGCTTTATTCTCAGCCATTGATATCAAAACCCTTTCAATGGCTCAGATCTAATAGCACAGATCTGGAATTGACACAAAGATTCCATCAAACCCAACCATCCGATCAAAAACTTATTTTGTCAACGGCCTAGATCAATTATCCCTACATTCTTCCTTCTTCTTCGTTTTGTTTCAGTAAAAAGTAAAAATCACAACACCCTCCACTGCAACAAACGTAACAAACTATACCTCTTCACCCATCAAATTCTTGTATGTACGTTAATATTAATCTAATTACCTTATCATTGAAGCTTAAGTTAACAAATTAAGCTTTATTGACTAATCACTCTGTTCTTTTGATTTCCAGCTTCTTCCATGCCAGACCACTGTATGGTCATCGCTGGTGAATGGGAGACCTCCGACGACGGTAGCTGGAAGTTCTCTATCGACAAACATCAAATGTCTCGGATTGTTACTCTTTCTCCGACCATGTCCTTGGTCGAAATTCAGAACAACGTCTTGAAGGAGTTTTTTCCCAACACTGAAGCTCCCCTCTCTGTCTCTCTGAGCTATTGGCCGCCAAACACTACTGAACTTGCCACCGGGATCTCAACCCCTCCGGTTGTTCTTTCACACGATGGTTCTGTTATGTACTTCTATCGCCATTTCGAAGTTCACAAGGGTATGAATCTGTTTGTCAAGTTCAACAAACAACCTGAAACAGTCCAAGTTAGCCAAGTTGCTGAGAACCTTTTCCCATTCACCACCCCTAACCAACCTATTCGAAAATCACAACCCCTTTTCAACCGTTTTTCTGCTCCACGTCCCCCTTCAACTGGTCCCTCCCCATCTTCTACAGCTGCCTCAAAATTTCCTGCTTTTTCTCTTTTCACTGACGAGCCCGAAGACTTCCTTGAAGAAGGAACAAGACAACCAATGAACACCTCTGTTCCATCCAAGCCAATCCGAATTTCTGTAATAGATGAAACTGTCTCGTGTGGGGACCAGATGCTTGAACAGATGTTCAAAGATGACCCAGATCACATTCCTGATAGCTGGAGGACTGAAGAGGAAGAGGAACATGAAGAAGAAGATGCCCC